AAAAACAAACCAGAAAAATAGACAAACAAAATACGGTACCCTGGCTCACCGTGAAGCTTCGTAGTGATTGCAGTCTAATTGTTGAAGTGCTTTCAGGGCTTCAGTGCTGCAGATCTCCCTCTGCGACATCACGAGCGTCGCGCTGCCTTGCGCGTGCAAGTCTTCACTTATCGCCGTCTCCTGGCCAAGCTTGCGTTGCTTCTGTGGCCCTTCCCTGCACTTAGACTTGTAGCCAGCGAGACCATTCTTGCCGAGTTGGGCGCCTCCAGCAGTTCACTCCTCGGGGACGGAAGTGCCTCCAAAACAAACTCTCAGGTCTTCAGCTGAGATTCCGAGGACTGAGAGGCTGCGGAACTCACACGATCAGCCCCGCAGTCTGGGGCGCCAACCCCCATTTTAGGCACATGCGGCACCAAGCCTCTGCCAGCGGAGAGTCGCTGGACATCAAAGGCCCCTCAGGAAGAAGTTGTAGTTTGAGGCACTCCGGTGCACGGCTAGGGCAAACTTACAATGAGAATGACGTCGAAGTGACAGCGAAAGACTCTGCAGTCTTGCCCGCGAGCAGGAAACACTGCGATGAGGGCGGAACATTGCTAGCCCGACCGGTTGGCGAACTGGAAATGCGCGGTCCCTGAACAGTGCTCTCATCAGGATATGGATATGACATGCTGTGGCTAGACGGAGCTTCTTTATCCCTCCCCCCCATGTCAACAGGTTGCACACCCTCTGAGCGATTGATTGCATGCTCCAAAACCCTTACATCAAACCTTCCTCCAGACAGACCGCTTGTCTATGTAGCTACCACTACATAGCCATATTCAACATCAGCAAACACACATGCATACAAACAGACACGCGGACAGACAACAGGCGTACATGTTTATGTAAGCCTCGTAAGCCCTCAATTGCAGGCCCTAAGCCCCGAACTTAAAATGTTCCCTGGTCCCAACTGGACGATTGTCTGATACACCCAAGTAACCAATAAATACCCAGTGGGAGAGCTTGAACCCGAAAGCGCCTGCCCTACACTCTGCGGGTTAGAACATCTGGCAGTCGCTGCCAAATTCCAAGACGGTTTGACAGATCTTGCTTGTCCTTCCGATGCTGGTGCTGGTATTGCTGATGGTAGCACGACTATAGTAGTATAACAGCGATCCTCCTAGTGCCAGTGGCTACCAGGACTACTAGTTCCTACTTGCCCCGCATCCTCCTAGTAGCAGCATGCCGTTCTACTATTTCTGCTTCTACTTTTACTCCATGCACTTTTTCCTCCTCTACTCAGTCAACTCCTTCTCCGACTCCTACTCCTACTGCTACTGCTACAGCTACAGCTACTCCTACTACTACTTCGTCTACTACTACTACTACTACTACTACTGCTACTACTACTACACTACTACTACTA